ACTCAAGACTACATGCCGAGCCTGGGTTGTCGAAGCCTAAACCCAGGTCGTGGAGGAGATTGGCCTGGAGATTCTAGCTGAGACGCTCCGAAATCCGGACTTGTCACCGGGCTTGCCAGTCTCTGAAACTATTTGAGGCTGACAGGGTTTGGGGTTTAGGTATTGGTTTTCGAGGGCTGCCGTTCCTTGACTTGTTGTGGCACCGTTGTCCAGATAGAAAGAATAGAAAGTAGCCATGATCACCCTAAAATAACTATCTTCAGGCATTAGCCTGGTTCGGGTTGACGCTGCACTTCAGACAAAGCGCCGGTCACGCTGAGCCCGACTGGCCATCTCAAGCTCGTCTGGATGTGGGGAACGGCTAAAACCCAGAAGCCCTATATCCTATAAAACTCCCCTAAACCCTAAACCGTCCGACGCGATGAACCCCCTGTAACCCTGTAAGCCCTAGAAAACCCAGGCATCAAACCCTAGCGAAGCTCAGCCGCATCGGCTTTTTCGGATTCTTGGGTTTAGGGTTTAGGATTAACGGATTTAGGGTTTAGGATTTATGGGTCTATAGGGTTATAGAGGCTTGATTAGGGTTTAGGATTTCGGGCTCAGGGCTTGTAGGGTTTATAGGGTTTAGGTTTTGCAGAGCTGCTCTGCGTCTCTTGAGAATCATCCATCGAAGCACAGAAGTCTTTGCATGGATTTGGGATTTATTTTTTGCGGTTTAGGGTTGTTGAAGGTCTTTAGGTTTCGCGGTGTAGTATTTTAGGGCCTAACGTTGAGGGTATTTGAAGGTTTGAAGGTTTCGGGGTCTAGTGATTCAGGATTCCAGGAGGTGTCTGTCGGATTTGCATTTAACTCGTGTTTTTTGGGCTTGGGGTTCGGACTTTTGGTGGTTCCGCGCAGGGACCAGCTCCTGCTTCGTAGGGTTGTAGGATCTAGGGTTTTTGATGTTTGAGAGTTTTTAGGATTTACGGGTTTTTGTAAGGTTTCTGGCATTGAGGATTTGGGCTTCACGATTTGGGGTTTGCCACTCGTCAACACAAGCCCCAATAGAACCGCCCACTGAGCCCACGGGGCGCAATTCGAAGAAAGGGCCGGGCGTGCTTTTTCCCCTCAGTGAGCGCCTGCCAGGATGTCGGAATAAGCAGCTGCGGAGTAGTTCATGCCGAAAAGACCAGCAGCTTTCAGCAACGGCAATCACCACCTCACTGCTGCCACTGTCATCAGCAGCAGCATCGGCGGCGCCAGCATAGTTCAGGCTTTCTTTGTCATAGCTGTTGACACTGGCAGAAGGAACCGCACAACAGCATCACCCCCACAATTTGGACCACCATCGTTATCATGATGATGAAATTAAAATACCATATGTATGCGGGAATCTGGTGCTGCTGTTGGTGTTGCAGCCCTTCGTAAACTCGCAGACCGAGCAATACTGTATGCAGGCAAGCCCGGCCTTCAGCTTACATAGACCACACGGTTTAGGGATTCAGGTGCTCCTTCAACCCGAGCTTTCGACAGATGGGTCGTTGCATTGTCAGATGCACACAGAGGTTCCGCAGTTCAAGCGACAAGGTCCACACACGGCCAGTTTGGGACGCACTTGCGGAAATTCCCGAGCACATCCTCAAACCCAAAGCCTACAGCCGACCTGGCCCTCCAAGAAACGGGGAAGATGTCGGCTCTGGAAGACGACATCCGTGTGAAGGGTTTCGTATTGGGGGGGGGGGGTCTTCCACGTCTGAACCCACGCAGGCAAAAAATTCAGCACATCATCGATCTCAAGGATGCCTCTTGCACATGCCGGGACCAAGAAGAATATGCTCGGGGTGTAGTCAGGGAGAATCTTCAAACCTGGTTTAAAAGGCTATTGAATCCTGGGTCGGCCGAAGGATCTATATGTGCAGATATGGAGCTCTTCATAGATTGCGCTTATGTCCTCCCCTTCATGTCCACGAGCAAGCGGGGTGCTTGCAATGCTCGGATCGGGCGACTAGCTTCCTTGTACCTAAGGCGGGGTAATGACAGCCGAGGCCTCCTCCGCAGCATGTAATGCAGACGCCCAATTCAGAAGCCTTTTGCCCTAAGCATGTCATTGAGTCACTAAGGATCCTGCATTTGGGGGCTTCTCAGCAACGGGCTTTATGATCAGGAGCCCAAATTGAAGGGCTTGATTCTTAGCAGTATATTATTCGTTGATACAGGTACAATAAAAGGTCGCCGGAGCCTTAACCTATCATGTATACGGCCCCTTATCAAATCCCGGAAATTCCTTACACAAACCCTTGTAAAGGATCCCTAAATGGAACTCTAATCCAGTTATTAAGGCCATTATGCTACACCCTCATAGTTGCTCTTGTAGACCCTCTTAGCGGAACCCTTGCTGAAAGCCCCATATTACATTATCGCACGAGCTCCTTGTCTCTTCAAAGCACGCAGGAAGGCAACCACACTTTGCGAGCCGAGCTCAAGAAGGCTGGCTTAATATGGGGGCCTTAATAATTAGAATATTGTTTTGGGGTATACTATACTATAATTCTTGTAAGGAACCCCCAAAACCCTATTCTAATTATTAAGGCCCGTATATTAGGGCTTAGACCCCTACACCCCTTAGAAGGAATGGGCTCATGCAGCTACACAGCAAGTGTGTGCAGATGCCGCAAAAAGCTTGCAGTTGCTGCACACAGCAGAAGGCAGATTTGTGGACGGATAGGCAACTTCTATATGCAGATGAGGTAGACAATTTGACTTTGTTTGTCTATGCTTGTGTATGTTGGCGCCTATTTTGCCAGCGTGCTTGCTGAGCACCTGCGTTTGCTTGCGTGCATTTCTGCCTGGCACATGTTGCGGTAATGAACGGTAGCACATGCAATTTCACCTTCAGGCGAAGCGCACCTAACCGAGTTCTGGGTTGTGGCTTGGTGCTTTGATTTCTGCAGCCACTAACCGCGACAGTTTCGGCCCAGACATACAAGTCGACCGGTGAGGCAAAGTGCCATGTCGTCGCCTTCCAAGCCCCATGCGCATGGAGAACATACGGCAAACAAGGGCACCGCCTCGAATGCAGTCGAGGCTTTGCCCTCCATGTCCCATGCGCATGAGAAGCATTGCCGGAGCTGCGACGGAGGTCACCTGGTAAAGCTGCAGAAATTCCTGGCAGCTGTTGACCAGAATCCCAAGCGGTTGGAGAAGATGATTTCAGCACGCCGGAAATACGATGGGATTTCAACCCCTGACAGCGCAACTTCAAGAGACACCAGCAACCAGGCTCTAGCATTGTTTGTTCCTTGCATTCGTGTTCCACAGACAGGCTGTGTTGGTGAGTTGAGTTGCGTTGGGCTGCCTTGGTAAACTTTACAATTTTCACGTGTGTCATGCAGCTCACTGACTTTTCGGATCTGAACCTGTGCATCTGAGGTACGGGTGAATTCTTGTTGGGTGACGATTGGGCTGCGGACCAACCAACACCTGCCACCCAGCATGTTTGCAAGAACCGAGCGTGCAATCGACGCACGGTCAGCCTTTGACATTTTTCAGCGTACGAGGGTCCCAGGAGTACATCCTGTTGTTCATCCCTTGTGCGGATAGCTCGGATGTCTAAACGCTGTCCTCTCCCAGTGAGGATTCCATCCTTGACGCTCCGGCCCGTACTATAATAATATTGCCACGTATCGTTGATGTCCGCTGTTTTCGCCAGCAGTCGTGCTTCCCATTTATATCCGTTCTTCCGCTTGCGATCGCTTGCGTCAGGGCCATGGAAATTGAGCTCAAAATACAAATGCAAGTCCTGCTCAGATGTTGCAGCTCCAGGCATGAGCCAGTCCAGGAAGCCGTTCAGGGTCAACGGAGCAGTCTGGCTCCACGACATCATTTGTTCTACTGGTGCATTTTTGATACTTGATATGTCAAGACGTTGGCCCGCTGATAAGAACATTTTCGGTCTCGGTACCGAAAACGGAAGATGACGATGAGGATAAAGGTGATGATGCACATATTGGTGATATTGGCGAACTTGCCTCCCACTACACCTGCATCCATCAGCACTGTTTCGCCTCAACTTCTGTCTGGGCCTCTGTGCTTTATCTGCATGAAATTGTTCTGTGTGCGTGAACAGGTATAACCACTGTTGTCGTCCGACACCGTTAGCATCATTGTTAGCACTATGGCTAGTATTTTATGGCCTCTTGCCTTCTGTGACGACAATGCTACAATGAGTGCTTTTATGGCATCCATGTTTCTGATTGTTGCTCCTTCTTATACTACTACTACTGCTACTACTACTACTATCACTACTACTACTACTACTACTACAACGACGACGACTACTAGTACTACTACTACACGTACTGCCACACTACCACTACCACTACCACTACCACTACCACTACCGCCACTTTTACTACTACTACTCCTCCTCCTGCTGCTGCTGCTGTTGCTACTGCTACTGCTACTGCTACTGCTACTGCTACTGCTTCTGCTACTACCAC